CTGCGCATTTCAAATCTTTGTTGCTCGTGACAAAATTAAAATCTGAGATGCTTCCAATTTTTCCTTCAGCAATTCATCCTGCTATCAATGACTGGGATGCTCTGGTTTCTGGGTAGCTCTGATGGTTCCATCAGCTCTTGCCCAGGGCACTGAAGTCTCACTGGAGAGCCCCAAAGTCCCTGCATGTGGTGCTTGTGTCTCACCTTTGCAGTTGAGCTCAGGTGTGTTGATGACCCCGTTGATGGCAGCCTGAGCAGCAGCATTTTGTTTCTTCAGGAGCTCAATTGTCTTCCTCAACTCGTTCAGCTCCGAGTCCTTGGATAAGGAAAAAAAACTCTCAACAGAGTGCAGAACAGCTTGGGTATTATGAGACAAAAAAACACGTGTATTCTGTACCACAGCAATAATGTCTGTTCAAGCATCCTGCCCCAAACCCCAGTGCTGCCAGGCTTGTAAGTATTTCCCTTGGTGTTTCTCTCCATGTATGGATCCACTGGGATGAAATACATAACAAAAATGTGCAATACTGAAGACTTGTGCCCAAAGCAACAATTCATAGGAACAACCCGATCAGTGGCCACAAAATCCCAGTGCAGAAAACAAGTGTTACATAGACATTTGTTATTACGTTTTACTCTATCACCACAATTGAGGGAACTGAGGCAAACTATGCATGGGACATTTTTCCCCCACAGAGCTACAGAAGGAGCACAAGCAGCAGTGCTGGAAACAGAAATGAAGACCTCCCAAGTGCTCTGGAATCTTGCCTTTTGCTCTGCTGTCATGGTCAGGCTCTGCAGCCGGATGGTCATGTTCCCCAGGCTCTGCTCAAACGCTGCCACCAGGTGAGCCTGAAATCAAACCACACCACAGGGGTTGGCTCTCTTCACAGAATCACACAATCACCAAATCACACAATCACTGAATCACAGAATCACAGAATCACACAATCACAGAATCACACAATCACACAATCACAGAATCACACAATCACCAAATCACACAATCACACAATCACAGAATCACCAGGGTTGGAAGAGACCTTCAAGATCTTCGAGTCCAACCCATGCCCTGACACCTCCAACTAAACCACAGCACCAAGAGCCACATCCAATCTCTTTTTAAACTCATCCAGGGATGGTGACTCCACCCCCTCCCCAGGCAGACCACTCCAGTGCTTTATCTCTCTTTCCCTAAAAAAGAGCAGGAGAACAGATGCTTCACCAGCTGCAATACCCAAATCCAGCTCCAAGACTTCTCCAATATTCTAGTGCACCTTGCTTCCAACCAAGGTCAACTTGCTACACATCATCCAAAATTCCTGGTGCTTGGCCAATCACCCCTTCTTTCTTTCTTTTCCCAAGGAAAGAAAAACTGATTTCTCTGTGCTTCTTGGGAGAAGAATGTTGAACCTTTCCCCCAGCAAGCACAGAGAACACAGCATCCATTATATGAAAAACACCAGGTAGGAATTGAAAATGACTGAGAAGCAAAAGGAAGGAAAAGTAGACTGAGAAGATGGAAAAGAACTGAAGAAACTATTTCTAGTGCCAAACACGGCACTGTTCTATGGGTATGCATATGCATGTGTACACAATTGATCACAGGCATATTTCAATATCCATCTGTCTCATTAGCCACAATAATCTACACTGACCACAGAAAACAAGAGTTTTATTTATCTATTAGCAATAATTCTACATGCACAGTGACAAGTAAAACTGTAAAATCTTTCCAAGCAGAAAACAACCCAAATAAATACAAAAATAGCAAAACCTTTCAGGGAGCTATTCCAGACCCATTCAGCAGCAGCACACAGTTGACTTATCCCAAAGAACTGTTCTCACATTCACAATGAAAACAAACATGAGCAGTACAATAACATGGGGATGTGCAGCTCTCATTCCCATCAGCCCCAATGAAAATAAGCAGAGCTGAGACTGTGAGAAAATGGCAAAAAGTAATTCAAAACCTAACACTACACACGTAGGGAAATCTAAATATTTATTTTAAAAGCACAGAGTGCACAGCTTCTGTTGAGGAGGATGAACAGGGAACAACAAAGCTGATATTCAGGGATCTTCAGCAATACTTAGCAAAAGCCAAAAATAAATGGGCAAGCAGGACTGCATGGATTAATAACAGGATACAAACCCTTAATGCTTTGACCTGAGCCTCAAAAAACAGTAGCTCTTTCAAAACCGGATCTTGTAAATGTTCCTATCTCAAAATTGTTCAGTGAGCTATGGGAAAAAAATGTATCTTCCCTTTCTAGTTGGAGTAAAATGTTTTCAAATTCATGCCCTTGATGGCTTGAGAAGTATCAACAATTGCAGTGTCTATGCAGGGGAATTCAGGAAAAGAAATTATAAATTTAAGAGATTAATCTGAATTGCCTATATTTTAATTGCCTTTTAATAAAGGAATCATGTCTAAAGGAAAGGTCCAAGCATCTTAACTCACAGCATTTATTAGTCTTCATTTTTTTTGGGAACAGACCTTGCCTTTGCCATGGAAAAAGAGAATGTTCTCTGAAAAGAGGTGGCTAGAGACTGGAATTTATTTTTAGGACAGTTATAGCAACATCTTTGTTGCCAATTTATGGACAAATCAGGGGCAGGCCCAAGTCTAAGAAATTTAAATAGCACGAATAAAACACTGCAAAATTTTATCCGAGTGAACTAAGCATAAATGGAATATTAGCAAAACAACAAACAATGCTAGCTTATTTTTTTTTCTTTTTGAGAAAGCCCACAACAAAAAAAACCCACAATAAAACAAATTCCCCCAATCCAAACAGAAACATACAGGAGTGTGCATTAAAAACCATTCTCCAGAAAGAGAGTGGCAGCAACCATACAGAAATTCTTGGGTGAGTGAAGAGCAGCCTGTGCTGCTCCTGCTCTTGGAGACAGCCCAGTGACCCTGAACTGTGTGGAGGAGAATGCAATAAAGCCCAGGCACAGCCAAACGAGCTGCTCAGCTGACAAGCTCTTTGTCTGAAGGACACAAGCTGGGTTATTTAACAACATCATTAAAAATGTGCCCAGGAAAAGCTGGTCCTGCTTCCTCACACATGGGTGAAACTTCTGGGGGAAAACCAACTCATGTGTCCATCCCCTTTGTAGGTGAAAGGCAAATGCAAGATTGAACTTTTGAAAGCTGTTTAAATTGTTTTCTCTTTCTCCTGGGACAGTGAATGAGTGGTTTAGTGCAGGCAAAGCCCTTTTATTTGATTTCTCTGTTGCCACAGTGCTCTTGGTTTGGCTGCTCCATTTTCACACTGGATTTTGATGGCTGCAGTGAGAGCACAGATTTCCCCTGGAACCTTTCCTGTGGTGCTGCTCAGGTGAAAACTGTCCTTTGCTACCCCAAGTTCTGCACTGTCCCTGTTCAGATCATTGAAAAAGGGGAGCACAGGAATGTCCCCCTCAAGCAGCACGTGTTCTGGTGTTTATCCATCCCCACAAACCAGGATGTCAGCACGATCTGCTCTGCTGACTGCTCATCTGCAGCTTATTTACTCTACAACTGCTTATTTTCCTTGCAAGCTCCTGTGTTGCAGGTTTCTGCTGTCTGTGCCTGTAGCACAGAACACACAAATAAACTCGCTCAGGGTCACACACTATCGCCCCAACATCTCCTGCATTCCAATTTTTTTTTTTTCCCCAAGTGTCTTAAATTACTTATCCATCACACTCCTGAGAGGAACAAGCAGAAGTATTGTCTACACTGGCTGAAAGTCAGGTATCTCCATTCTCTAGCTTAACTTTAAATTAAGTTTCCAGAGCCCCTAATGCCACTAATACCTATCATGCCATTAACCCACATCTTTATGCAACAGAAAAATAAAATGTATTTCAGTCCAAGTCTCTGCCAACTTTTATTCCTACCAGTCATAATCTTTATCTGTATCTCATTCCTTCCAAACGTCAAAGCAAGATGCTATTCATAAAAAGAGACTCTGTCTTTAGTGATTTTCTCAGGACCTTCAGAGAGCTTATATTTATATAGAGTCAAATTAATATTGTAACTCAGTTTTTAAAGAAAGGCCTAAGATAATTTAGTGGAGCAGAGGATGCTGGATTTGGGCAGGTCTCACACATGCAGGCAGTTATTTCTTTAAAAACATCAGTAACATGAACTGAGAGTTATACACACGAAATCTGTTTGTCACTTGAAAAAACTGGGTGTTACTGTTGCATTAAATGCGTTCCAGGTTAATGTTCTCAGAGCTGTACTCACATTAGCAGTCAACTGAGTTGTCAGAGCTGACACTTTTTCTTGGGATGCATCCAGTTCTCTCCTCAGCTTGCGAATCTGTGGGTTTTACAGAGTGCTTTAGTGCATCAGCACAAGGAGAAACAAAGCAGCAAAGCACACAGTGCAGAGTGGCACTGCTGCTGCCCAGACAGSCTGTGCTCTTACCTCGGACTGGCAYTTCTCCTCAGGCTGYAAAACAAAAGGAAACACRTGAGGATGTTACAACACAACCAGCCTGATGGATTTATGCAAATTTTCATTTTGTATTTCAAAAACTCTAATGTGATTTCCTTATTTTGGATTCCCACATCCACATTCAGCTTAATTTCATCTCCTAAATTATTTACTCTTCAAGGAAAGAGAGAATAGGCTGCTGGTGAGGAAATTCCTTCTGCAGGAAGGAATTTGGGCTCCATCTCCCAGCCTGCTGAGCAGAGCTGCTCTGGTCTGAATCGTGGCAGGGTGAAGGGCTGGCTCTGCCCATCAGGGACAGCATGAGGCTCTGCAGAACCAGCATTTAACCAACAGCATTCATTAGCCTTAACTTTCTGAGGAACAGACCTTTCCATGGAAAAAGAGAATGTTCCCTGAAAAGAGGTGGCTAGAGACTGAAATTTATTATTATTAGGGCAGTTATTAGCAGAACTTGGCTGACCCCAGGCAATTCCTGTTACCCCATGCTCAGCATTTGCTCAGTCCCACTTTTGCATTCCAAAGTGATGTGAAAAAAAAACCCCTTACAAATTCCTCCAGCCCCCAGGAAAATCACAGCCATCCCAACACAGCAGCAAGCACAGAAACCAGGAGCTCTGAGCACTCCCCTGCACTTTCAAACTCCAGCAAGCCTTGTTTTAGGACCAGAAAACCAAAATGAATACACACTCGTGGAGAAAATGTTACTGGCATGGTGAATAAATGGCTTTTTTTAGAATTATTAATTGAAATTAAAAAGTGGACTCAAAGTTCTTTAGCAGCAAATCATCAATACAAGGATGGGATTATTTCATTCTGCACATTTTATGATGCTTTAAGCAATGCAGTTCCAATGTCCTCATATCTACTGAGGTTCTTTGTAGTAGAACCTACTTAGCACAGCATAAAACTCTGATGCAAAAAATCAAAGGCTGCTTTTAGGCCATTGAAGTCTGTGTTTAATGAGGATACTGTAAATATCCACAGGCATCCTTACAAACATAAACATTGCTTTCCTAGCCAGAATTCAGAACATTGTCAAATGAAAACTGTTTTTTCCCTTCTCCTTGAATGGCAAGATAAGCATGGTAAGACCAGGCAATTTCAATAATTTTGATTAATAAGCAAACTCTTTATTATACTCACAGTGGAATATATAGATGATGTACTGGACACCAAAGAGAGAGAAGAACCATGCACTAAAGGAAAGAAAATAACCACAGTGAATACAAATGCACTAACCACAGTCTGGAATCACCATAAATCATCCACTCCACCACCACCAACTTGCTGAAGAAATACTTTCACAGATTTCATCATCCATCATAAACTTAATCATACTATCACACCAGTGATGTATGTTTTGAGGAATGCATGGCCAAGTGATACAGCCCATAAACTTGGATTTGGCAAAGCTGTTTTAAAATTCTCATAATACTCGTTTGTTTGGGAAAATGAGGTGTGGTCAAGAAAGTTAAAGAAGTTTCGATGAAGATCTGTTCAGAAACAAATATTTTTCTGGATGGTTTATCTTAAAATTCTTGAAAAAAGGCTCACTAGATTAAAAAAAAAACCCCAAGAAATTAACTGAAATGCAGAAGAGATTACAAAAAAATTAATCTAAGTATTTAATCTTCAGTTTCAGATGAGACTGAGGGGTTTGGCTGGTTGATTTTTATGAAGCAGCAGACCAAGACCTGAGACGATCACAACACCCAGTGTGTAACCAGACACTCCAGGACCCCAGATAAAATCACATTGTTCAATTCTGGGGCTGTGAACTGTCCTCTGAATGCAGCTCTGTGCTCCTTCTGAGCCCAGCATTCCCTTTTCCTGTAGCATTTCTTGATATTTTCTTAATGACATTTTCTTAACAAGGCTAAGTTTGTCTTCTTGTAGAAAAATTAACAGGGAAAACAGGGCTATAAAACCTTTGTCTGGAAAAGAATTAATTTCAAGCAATTGTTGCATTTAAATTCAGTAGAAGATATATGATGATGGCCTAGATGATCTTCAGAAGTCCCTTCCAACCCTAACTACTCCATGACTCTCAAGGCTGTTCATCACTCAGGTGTCAGGATTTACATACAAATATAACATAATTTCATTCTTTATTACACTATTGAAAAAAGTACCTGAAGCTATTCTTTCTGCTACTGAAATATGCAAAATCACTTTTTCTTTATTTTTATTTTTAGAAACAAAATCCATTGAACTAAAAACTTTCTGTCAAAATTCAGGTAACTTAACACAAATCATATGAAATAGAAAAAGGGATTTTGCACTTTCTTCTAAATCCTCTAGCCAAAAAAAAAAAAAAAAGTTTAGAAAAGCAGCCATTCTGCTCTAATTACCTACTGCAATTCTACATTCATAATAAACGGGTTCTGCTTTCCCACTGACATTATATCCTGAGGCAATACTGGAAAGAGAAGTAAACAAGGTCTAAGATGGCTTCTGAAGGAATTTCAGACCATTTCAAAAACCCACAAGAAAGAAAAAAAAACCCCTCACACCCATTCCCTTTCTCTGAGTAATCCTATTTTCAATTAAAATGATCTTTCTAGCTGGGCATGAAGGACTGCACTGTACTCAGAACAGGAATGGCTTTTCTAAGATGGAAAGCCTGAAGTGAGGCAATATTGCACACGGCCACAATCAGAATATATTCTTGTTTTCTGGCCTCTCTATTCTTCCTTGGGGCATTTTTCACAAATAGAGGCGTAGCCAAAAGCAGGGCCACACCTGCTGGCCAGAGAGCTAACAAAAATCCTTACAATGCATTTGGTCACACACATCTTAGACTTGGTGTCAACTGGAATTTTTAAGATCACATTGGGACTTCAAAGGAGAAAAGAAGACTCAAAATTTAAAAAAAAAATAAAAAGGGAAAGAACATGTAACTCTGAAAATCCTACTTCTGCCTTGTGAAACATCACCATCACACAGAATCAGAGATTTATTTAGGTTCCAAAAGACCTCTAAGATCATCCAGTCCAGCCACTAACCCAGCACTGCCAAGGCCATCCCTGAACCGTGTCCCCAAAACTGCATGGCTCTTGAATTCCTCCAGGGACAGTGACTCAGGTACATCATTTGAATGTGTAAACAATTTCACATTTCTCATTTCAAAGACAACTCAGGAGTWCATAGCTTGGTGGCATTCCTTCTCMAARTAYCTGCAGACAGCTACCTGAAGGTTMTTTAACCAGGAGCTGCAGGCAGCCATGCCCTTGATGCACCCAGTGGTTTTCTGGGGCCAGCATGCAGCCCACAGACCCCATTCGGGCTGGAACTGGTATTTTCTAGCTGTGCATATTCACAGGCACGCCTGGATCAGTTTTAATGTCAGAGGAGAAAGGGTCTAGCCCTGATCACATGCCCAGAGAGCAGAAAGAACAACTGGTACTGCAGCCAGCAGCACAAAAAGGAATATTAACAATTACTTTAACCATTTATACCCCAAAAACAGTGATTTTTTCTTTTCTCCAGGAGGCTGAAGCACCAGGATGGAGCAAGGGGCAGCCCAGCTCCTGGTGAGACTGGAGAGCCATGAGACCATGGAAGCTTCACACTGCAGTTCTTCCCCCTGGAGAGTCTGGGAACTGCTCCTGCTGGCATCTCCACACCCAATCTGTGCCAGGAGTCACATCCTGAGGGGCTGAACAGCCTCCTACCCTGTCTGCAGGCTGTGCTGGGAGAGAATGGGACTGTGCCTCACACCCCAAGACACCAGAGCAAAAGGTTTGTAAGAATAAATCCTGGCCCTGCTGAAATCAATGAGAAACAAATGCCTTGTAATCTTATGTGCCAAGAAATAACTCAGAAGTAGGGTGGCGAGCTTTATTTAAGACCTGGATTTACACTTCATTGACACTGGTTAATTGGAATAAAATCCATCTGCTCATTAACCACAAATTTAATTTATGTAATGCTTTTTAATCCATTCTGTAAAGCTGAAGGCAAACTTCTGCAACATTCAGAACTATTTGATCACTTAGACTTTGTGGTTCCCTGACAAATAAGCAGGAGATAATAAGCTCCTGCCTTCTCTACAGCCAGGGAAGTGATGGAACACCTCTCCTGAAGACAAAAATACAGAGACTATACCAAAACATTCAATCCATCTGGTGAAATATAATTATCCTTTTAGGTGTGAAAACCTGAGGAAAATCTTAACGGGATTTCTTTGGAGTGTCCACTGTAGGGTCAAATTCCTTCCTCAGATACAAAAGCAGTATTTTCCAACTATTTTCAAGTCCATAACTTAGTGGATTTTTCTTGGACTTAGTTTTTGTTATTTTCCTCAAATGAATAAAAAGCAGTTAATAGAACATTTCACCTTACTCATTTCAAATTTTCCTCTTCTGTTTTTTTTTTTTTWAAATGGCTTTTCCTCAAACAAGTAATATTTATTAAATGTTTATGGCTTGTTTTAAAACAAGCCTCTCTCATGGACAAGAATTTCTGATCTACAAGAGAGAGTTTAACCTCCAAGGTGCCAAAGTGGATTTGCTGCAATCCTGAGCACCATGAGAAGACCAAAGCTACAATATTTTTGGAGGATGCCTCCAAGAAAACCCGAGCTAAGTTTTGCTGCAGTAGCTCTTTCAGTAAATCACTGAAGTATAACACAGATGCAGTGATTCAAATTCCTTCACAGATTAAATTAGGGAACAATTTAGTAAGAGAATGACTGTGCATCACAGTACAGAACTGGACTGACCAAGGCATCTGGCAGCCTTTGRCTGTTCATGATCGTTCAGCTTYCTGAGAGCAAAYAAAGGTTAATTCCTGCCATGACCCAGCTTTTAGCCCTACAGCATTCCTCTAATAATTTTCARCCCCTAATGAAGATCATCAGCCACMGACCTCTAAAATACAATTAAATGTAATGAAGYTAGATTGACTAAATTCAATAACAAATTAATTCAGGAATCTTTCCACAGCCATATCCAATACATATTTTCTACCTATTCCCGTGGCAAAAAAAAAGAACGTGGGGGTAACCAGAATCACCAGTGGCCTGTGAAGTACAAGCAAGCTCCCAACCCTTGCCAGAAAGGAGACTGAAGACTCAAAGAGTTAATCTTGAAAGAGCTTCCTATGAACCACACCATGCTTGGCTTCTCAAAGTGCAGTGCTCGAGGATTTTAATGTGTGCTCACAGCTGCTCCTGCTACAGCCATAAGGATGCTGCAACAGCAGCTGAATTGAACATTCATCTGTAGGTAAATGACTTTTTAAATGACGTTTACATGGGGTGTTTTTATCAGGTGTGATTACATATTTGATAAGATGATGAAGCACTGAAAAGACAAGCCCAGATGCTCTGAATAGCTGTTTGAACCCTTTCTTTGGGAGATGTGTTGTATCAAGCCAGGACATTCAGCATAAAGGAAAAGCAAAGACCATTTGAGTGCAGATTAAATACTGGAAAAACTACTGGGATAGAAGCACCCAACTGATATCACATATTTACACCACAAGCAGAACTGTGGAGGTGCACACTCAGAGTTCCTCCAATAGAAGGTATTAATGTTAATGTGCTGACTCTTATTAATGTTAATGTGCTGACTCTAAACGGGAATTATTCATTCTGAAATCAATAAAAATGAAGCACAGGATGCATTTAAGCCATTTCTTGAACAGCCAGGGTCTAGGTACAACACTTATTTCCTGTGTCTGACCAAAGCAATCACTGAATGAACATCATCATTCTCTCTGGTGACCAGAGGCAGGATTCAAGGAATGGCCTGCAGTTGTGCCTGGGAAGGTTTAGGCTGGATCTCAGGGAAATTATCTTTCCCCAGAGGGTGGTTGGGCACTGGAACAGGATCCCCAGAGCAGTGGGCACAGTGCCAGCCTGGCAGAGTGTGAAGAGTGCGTGGACAACCCTCTCAGGCACATGGTGGGATTGCTGGGGTGTCCTGGGCAGGGCTGCTGATACCTGATGATTTTTGCCTTTCCTTTTTATACACACTTTTACATATTTTATACACCCTTTTAAACATTTTCTGTACCCGTTACATATCCCTTACAGCCTTAGCCCTCATGCTTGTAATTCCTATAGCCCAATACTCCAACTCAGTTTTAGAGTTCTGCTGGGGAAAGAAACCAAACACCCTCAGTAAGAAATCAACGTGCCCTGTGCTGTCTCAAATTTTAGGCTCCAGTCTTGGGTGAAGCTTCCTCCATGGAACACACTGTGTAAACTGGGCTCTGGCCTCATCCAAGGAGGGATTCATTAGAATAGGGGGACATTACTCCATTTGTTAAGTTTTTACTGGGGAATTCCAGATAGATATGCTAATTTCTGAAGTCTATAAAACTTGTGTTTGTGCTACATGTGGTGTGCATTTTCCATCGGGTTGTTCACCTTGAATCCCATTAAATACCGAAGTAAGACCCTTTATCCCCTTAACTGGGGATAAAATGGTTTTGTGTCATAATTCAAACTGGCCGACAAGGCAACATTGGGAGTTGGATTTGATTTTCCCCTGGGTCCCTTCCAACACTACGATTCCATGATCAAAACAACAATGGCTGGGACTACGGCTCTACCCAACACCGAGTGCCGACAAAGCCGCGCCAGAAGCAGTGCCTGTGGTGAACCACAAAGTGATGCCTGATGATTTCTGCTTTTCCTTTTTATGCTTTCTGTACCCTCTATGCATCCCCCTGTACCCCTTACCCCACATGTTTGTAATTCAGTAGCCTGATATTCCAGCATAGTTTAGGAGCTCTGTTGGGCAGAGAGACCAAACATCCTCAGGAAGGAGTCAGTGTGCCCTGTGCTATCTTAAACCCAAGGATCCAGCCTTGGGTGAAGCCTTCTCTCTGGAACATCTTGTGTAAACTGGGCTCTGGATTCATCCAAGGAGGGATTCTTTAGAACAGGGGGACATTACTGTATTTGTTAAGTTTTTTGTTGGGGAATTCTAGATAGATACGCTAATTTGTGAAGTCAATAAAACTTGTATATGTGCTATATGCRGTGTACATTTTCCATCAAGTTGTGCACTTGGGATCACAAATACCGAGGTAAAACCCTCTTATCCCCTTAACTGGTTCTGTGTCAAAATGAAAACYAGCCAACAAGGCAACACTGGGAGTTGGATTTGATGATCCATTGGGTCCCTTCCAACATTATGATCAGTACAACRATGACTGGGACTATGGCTCTACCCAACAAACCGCGCCTGTGCTGAACCAGGTTTAGGATCCAACCCCGTGCCCCGAGCACACCCAGCAGCCCCTGAACACACTGACCCTCCTCGAAGCCGTCGCGGAAGGAGCCCGAGCGGCTCATGGTGCGGCTCTTGTCGTCCAGGGACATGGAGCTGTTGCGGAAGCGCGCGTCGCCGTAGGGCTCGGCGGGGCCGTCGGCGTTGGACAGGCTGTGCGTGCGCAGCATGCTGGGGTTGGACAGGCTCAGCTGCGCCGCGCTCGTGGGGCTCGCTGTGGAAAGGCAACAACTTTTAGTGGGAAGTTCCTCACTGCTTTTTGTGCAATTACTGGCAAATTCCRCTCCCCCCGCTACTTTAAGATACGCGTTTTTGACATCCTCGTGAAAACTCAAGGAAAATAAGGTCATTTCAAACACTGGGCACTATGTCYGTGCTTCTACAAACAATCTTAGTCACCTCACCAACACCTCCTAGGCATGTAACCCTCATTTAATTTGGAACTGTTCTTCTACAAAAACTAGTATTTCATCCACAGAGAGCATGACTTACCGTCTCCACAGCCTTCAAGTTCTATGAAAATCACGTTTTTCTACGTATTTCATACGCATTTTAGTCACAAATGTAAAGGGCTTTAGTTTCCTAATAGCTGTTTATTTCAGAACTGTTTCTTTCCACTATGATGTCCTGAGAACTGMAAAACAGTAATTTGGCCTTAAAAGCCAATAGTCTCCCAGCCATGGCTTAGAGCACAAAATGACCACTCCAATTTCATATTTTTTGGAAAGAATTTTTGGGCTAAAATGATACCTGCTACTTAGTAAGAATTAGTAAAAACTGAATAAAATCACTGCTTATCTGGCACGTTCCTCTTCATGTGCTCTCACTGCCTGTTTCTATAGAGACCATCAGCTGATACAGACTATTGCAGAAGAGAGGATAATTCAGTTTACAGGTGCTCAACTTTCATATCATCATTTGCTCTTCAATTAAATTAAAGGACTCATCTTGACTTCAGTATCTCCAAACTCTCTTCTTAAGAACACAGAAAAACATCTTTTCTTTTTTTGTGTGTTCACCGCTGTTTGTGGCCAAACAGCTTTTGATGGTAATTAATACAAAKAATCTCCAACACTCTGCATAAAGAGTTAACTTTCTGTGCCTGTAACAACACGTTTTAGTTTTCTTTTTTTWAAATCTCATTAACTTTCCTCACAGCTTGCTAGCTGTAAGAAATGTAGTTACGCTGTGTGTATATTCAGTTGAAAGTGTCATTTTATTTAAAGCCACTAACTGAACGTGTTTCTTTCCAGAACACTCAAAGAAAAGCTCTAGAATGTCATTGCTGCAATTCAAAATGACACCAGAAATAAGTGACGGTGCAATCTGCTCCAAATTCACACAAGAAGTTATCAAGTACAAGATTCACTATTTTGCATGTAATTATTATATATAAATTAGTTATTATATAGTTAGCATAAACAAAATATTTATTTTAAATAAATATTAGTTATTATGGAGGGGCTTCTGAAAGTCCCAAATGCCTGTTCCACACAGTACTTTCCAAAGACAAAATTAATGAACCTGAAGAAATTGCAAAGGCACTTAAGTGAGATTTAACCAGCCCACCAGAGATGAGTACCACTWGCACTTTAAATCAGGTTATTTCAGCTGGGATAAGGTCAACTAAAACCTGCAGTGCTTCCTGGATCCTGTCAATCACCTTTTACTGTTTCCKTCATTTAAAATGTGTTGAGCAATGAAATGAAGAGATGGCAGCTTTTCTGACTCAGAACTCTCCTGACTCGTACAGATTGCTTCAGACTGAGCTTTCTGCCATTTTCCAGCAAGCCACTTGAAAAAGACAGGCAAAGAGAAAATTTCAACCTGCTGAGACTGCCACACATTGGTAACAAGCTGGATTTCAGAGAATTATTACTATGCAGCAGGCAGCATATCAGGTCATCTGCTGTGTGATACCAACAGCTCACAATTGATATCAAGGAATCTCATCACACCCAGAAATGCTGTTTCAAAGTCACTGCAAGCACAGCACCTTTGGGCATATGACTAATGATGCTAATTAATCACACTCATCAATGAGAACACTTCCCCAGGTTCAGCACAGGGCTTGGAGCTGAAAGAAAACCCTCTTTTATAACACGCTACTCTCAGGAGATGCAGCACACTGCTGTGATTATTCAAACAGATAATTATTCACCCAGCTGTGAGAAGTTAAATCTCGTTCCAGAGGGTGAGGTTATGCTGGATCCAGATGAAAATGGAGAATTGCCAGCAGTATCCTGCAGTCCTCCTGCTGAATGGGACCGGAGCCATTCCTTTGCATCCTCTTGACTGCGGAGCTGGGAGGATGGAGTGTACCTGCAAAAACAAACAGGTTTTTCACAATCAACTCAGGTATCTATTTAATTGTTTTGTTTTAAAAAAAAAAAACAATCATGAAATGTCACAAGACTTGGGGGAGAGACAGAGAGAAAGAAAAATGGAAGAATCCTCACATGAATTAAAGAATTAAATGAAAACCCAAACAGAGTTCTGAATTAAGATGCTCCAAGCTGTTCCTAATTAATCTCAGCTCTGTCTGAGGAAAAAAACCACACCACAGACTTCTTTCCTATGGCTTCAGTAGCAACCAAACCAGAGTGAACCAAAAGTTACAGGCAGAAGTTGTGCAGTGTAGCACTGCAGGATAAAATGTAGTGTGTGTTACATCATATGATTTAAAAATAAAGCTGTAGCCTGGAAAACTTTTCCTTAGGTTATGCCAAAATTCCAGCCCTATTTAAATATTTTGGTGCATGAATAATCTAAGCTGACTTTTTTTGTGATATGACAACCAAATTCCAGTCAACAAAGCCATTATCAGGATCTTTTTCATCAGGTTATGACCCAATATTTCATATTCCAGAGACATTGATATAAGGCCCTTGGAGGTGCATCCCATTTAGTTCCACACTGACAGCATTAAATCACCTAAAGGAGACAATGTCTGGCCTTTTCTGAAGGCAAAGAAAACAGCAGGAACGTGGTCTGTGCCAACATCAGTGGCAAAACACCCTCTGGTTTCAGCCTGAACTTGATTTATTGTGTGTGAAGAATGGGTATGTCAGGACAGGTGCTGTGTGAGCTACGTGAGAGGGTGCAGGCATCAACAGCCACGGAAACATCACGGAAACACTTTGCTGATGCAATTCAGTGCCTGTCCCAGGCTATGCCATCGCCTTTGGACAAGTATTTATGAGTTACTACTCCCTTTCCAAAAACCTGGAGTCTTTTATTAGCTGATRTTATCTATTTAATTAATTTGATTCCCTTCAAGTAAACACCCTACAGTAAGATGTCACTTATTAAGACTATTTTAAATCRACGGGAACACTACAATAATTTAAAAACTCAAACTGCTTTCAAAAAGCACATTCATTCTTCTGCTTATGCCTCAACACTCCAGCAGCAGCCCCTGACAATCTGCATCTCTTAAACTTTGCACATAAATCACTTTATTAAGAAAGGGGCTTTAAACAGCCGTGTTACCTTAACACAGTGCAGATTTATTTTTAATTTCAGCATTAATACCTACCTCTTGAAGACTGAAATGTTGTCTTAGAAGAGAGTCTTTAATAAAAACATACTTAGAAACATTAAAACAAATTGCCATTTCATTTTAGTGCTCATGGGACCAGGCTGCTGTGAAGAACAAMATGCACAGCACAGAGTAAATCCCAGCTGCATTTCCAAGGCATCCCCTCTGAGATCCCAGAGGCTGCATTCAGCAATTCGGAAGCTGCAATCTCCTAAACTGTTTAAGATAGCTTCTGTAAATTCTCTAACACTTAAAGCTTYTAATTAACATAGTTAATGTTCATTATATGGCTAAAATTGCCTGTGTCAATGAAAAAAATATTGATGCTATAAAAATCACTACCTTAGAGATGAATAAAATGTATGAAAAGACCACTGCTGAAAGTTTGTTTAAAGATTKTTTTGTTATTTTCTAGGAGAGTAGAGCCCTATGGATTTAGGTATTCTGAAGCAATTAAAAAAAAAGAATTATTATGTCCAATTTCATCCTGAAAGGTCTGCCATAATCTTATATATCTTTTCTATTTATACAACACCAAGGTTCCCAGAGTTAAAATGATCTCAGGTCATTCCATGTAACAGCCACAGAAACAGCAACATTATTGTTTTTTAATCAAGCCCAGGGATGRTTTGAGATGCTTTTCAGTAATTCAGCCAGCAAAAGCCATGATTCTTGCTCAAGCAAAGAAAGCCATTGGACGAAAAAATCAGTTGTCAATGGCCTCCTTTGAGGATTGAAAGAAAGGAAGAGTGAAAGAAAGGAGAGAGAAAGAAAGCGAGAAAGAAAGAAAGCAAGAAAGAAAGCAAGAAAGAAAGGAAGAAAGAAAGGAAGCAAGAAAGGAAGCAAGAAAGCAAGAGAGAAAGAGAGAAAGAAAGAAAGTATTGTTGCCACCTCTTGCAAACTGCGACCATCACCACCAGCCACAACAGAAACACAAAGCAAACTCCAAAGCCACCACAAAAGATGTTAAACCACGTGGAAACACCAATACCTGAGTCCCTTCTTAGGCAAAGTGTTCCTATCAAGGTGTGGGTCGCTGCAGAAAAGTTAAAAGAAAAGAACTTCAGAGAGGAACAAAAGGGAAGGAGTAAGATCAGGACRAAGGACGCACAAACATCTGCAGAACCTTTTCACAGGAAAAGGTGCTGGGGCCTCCCTACAGAGACATGCACAGACCTCCTCTSCCAGTGGGGTTTGCACAAACATGCAGCTGGTGCCATGCCAACGAGCCACATCTGTCCACAACCTCGCTGCGCTGCTGCTCCTACCCACACTGAACAAGAACGGCTCTTCAAACACCAAATGGCTGGTTAAAAATGGGCTTTTCAGCAGGATCTTGGTAAAATCTGATGGGAATCTGCAAGCTCAAACCACCTTCCCACCGTTTCTTTCRGCAGACACCATTCAGGGAATGCAGCTAATTGTTGCACAGAGGTATTGAGCCCAGACTGTTTAAATTTTCAAATCTTAGCCTAAGTTCCATTAGCAAAGTAAAGCGGATGGATTAGTTGCCCAAAACTCAACTACTCCAGTTTTCACAACTGGAGAGCAGAGTCTGTTAATCTGTTTTTAAAGAAAATATCCCCATGCTTACGGAAATTAATTAAATGAGACCCCTTATAGCTAGATTACAGTACGGGACTGATTAAAATTACATCAGCGAGTGAAAGCAAGCTCGAATGTTCAGATTTGTTTCATCTTTCCCAACTTTGGCACTCATTTGTACAAGGATGAATGTACCCAAGTCCCTGGAACACACTCACAAGCCAAGCTGCAGCAAAAGACTGACAACACCGAACAACACAGGAACTTCACGACAAGGACAGGCCAGAAAGGCAGTGGGGAAAGCAGCATGCCAGAGGAATGCTGAAATGCTAGTGAGAGTTCAGATTCGTAGGGAAAAAAAAAAGGGCATGATTTTCAAATTGCCTTTGGCAAAGAAATGAAGGGGGTGGGGAAAAATATTCCTCCCCCAAAGCAAACTATGATCCCAGAAAGAAGAGCAACACCAAAAGCATGCCAGTTCTGCTGTGTGCCACTCTGCAGCTCRATCTGGGTGGATGGATGGGTGTTTGCAGCGACTCTCACTGGCATGTCTTTGTRTCAGTTCACACCTGGACAACGAACACAGCTCAGAACCAGCTGAGAACAGTCTGCACAGAACAATTTGCTTCACTGAGATGGGCAACAAAACCTACGGCCTTGAGCCTGTCCTGAGACAGCATTACCTGTCCTGCCTCCGGGGCAAAGTATTTCGGCAGAATTTGGGGCTAGCAGCAGGGGAAGAAAGAGGGCTAGAAGGATCAGTCCAACGAGACAGAAAACAAGAGAAGGAATATTAGAATGGAAAGGTGAGAGAACAGGAAGGAGTTATAATAAAACAYAAACACAACCCCAAACTGTCAGAACATCACATTCAGGTGTAATTTGCTCCGCTGAGACACAGTTACAATGATTTTGCTACCTGAACTCATCGTTACACATCAGGAAAGGTTTGGAAGGGTTCTGCTGCCATCTACAAGAGGTCCCTCAGAGACCACTGCTGAGTTTACCCAGCTCAGTATGCCAGAATCCAGCTCCGAGGCTGAAAAAGCCCTGTCTGTTCCCTCCTCCCTGCTCAGCCTCCTCCCAGCTCCCACCCCATSGCCACACAGACACCAATGAATCTCAGTGTGCAGAGCTGGGGAAGTGATCAGTCTGAAACACCATCCAGCTGATCATTTCTCACTKGGATGCAGCTCCCAAGAGGATTCACTGAGCATTCACATGAATGCTCATACTGAAACACTGCAGGGAGCAACTGGAGATGGGACAGAGCAAGGGAGAGGCTGAGAAGGGATCAAGTGACCACAGAAGTGGGGACTTGTCTTTTCAGCAACACCTCCAGTTAGAAAGTCATCAAATTCTATAATCAAAAAATTTAACAGGAAGCAGATAACTTTTCAAATCAAAACTGGAGGATTTTTAAAAATAATCCTTATCAGCTAAATTAACAGGAGATCTTTGGAAGGATGCAAAATTCAAGTATTAGGTGCCATATGGTAGCAAAAAAMCCCATCACATTGGTTACAACAGCATATTAAAAACTTCACCTRAACTCAACTTCTTGGTCTGAACTGGGCTCCCTGCCTGGAACACCTTATTTGTAAGCTCCAGCAGTATTTTGAATTATCTGCACTGTCTTGAAGAGGCATTGCTGGCTCTGCCTCTGCAGCATCAGCTGACCCAYAAACACACAGAACCAAGAGCAGGAGCACCAACCTTTCAGACAAGGTGGTTTTGACGCTGTTGGTGCGCACGAAGGGGGTCAGGGGGTCATCCTTGGTGTTTGGCACCAGGCCCCCGGGGGAGCTGTGGCTCAGGCCACCCCCGCTGCCCAGGGAGATGTCGATGGACTCGCAGCTGGTGTGCAGGCTGCTGACCGACTGGTAGCCCACGCCGTCCTTGCTGACCGCCGACGAGCTGCTGGCGTTGGTGCCCCAGGTCAGGCTGTTGGATGGAGCTGAGTGTGCTGAGCTGGGGCTGGAGGCCAGCGGGGACTGGTTCAGATCAGAGCTTTTCCCATACAGGGGACTGCTGCCCCCGCTGCTCAGCACCCCGCTGCCCGACGGCGAGTCCAGGGTACCCTGCTGGCTCATGGTGGCGTGGGGGTTGGAGATCACTACCGAGTTCTTCATGTTCTCAGCTGTTGTGATGGGAACTTGTTTACTAGGCTTGCCACCAAAAAGTCTGTAAAAGGGAAGAYGACATGAAAAATACATAAAATGGAATAGTAAACACAAGGGTATCTTATATCTAGACCATATATCCTCTTCAGAACACCAGCATGATCCTAGATTAGATATATGCAATTATACATTTATAATGTCGTTGTGTTCACTGTCCCTTCAGCCAGGCCACCCAGAGAAAACTGCAACAGCTCCAAATCTATCTCAGGTGTGTCTCCTCTGCAATATCAAATGCTGCCTTCACAGAGCTAAAGTACAGCTTCACAGAACTAAGATACACTCATATCATCCTCTGTTCCTAAGGAAACAGGGTACCAGAGAAACAATCTGATGTATGAAATACTAGGGGCTGAAAGCTCATGGACCAGGTAAATTCTATGCAAACCACCAAACTCTGCACAGAAGGAGCACTTGCTGGGATGTAACAATGCACTCATACCAATTGTATGCTTGTTTCATCCCATGAGCCAAGCTGGCTGGAAACTATTTCTTTAGTGGAGAACAAGATGTCACCTGCTCTTTGGCACCTGGAACTGGCTAGTAAAAAACCCAGCTGAGCTCCAGAATTTGGGGATGCAGGGGATGGAGGAGGCTGACTGCAGATTATCCACCATTCCAAAACCAATCTTCAAAATTAGGAAGGAGTATCACCCAAAATTAGGAATATGGCAGGGGGGTGGAACCAGATGATCTTTRAGGTCCCTCCCAACCCAAACCAYTCTGTGATTCCATGGCTTTCAGCAGCAATATCAGCTCAGGGAATTCCTGTTCCTGTACCCCACACAGCCTCTTCAGCCGCACTGRGGAAAGCACCCTCAGTACAATGCATGTACAAGCTGTTTTTAAGCTACTCCCCCTYTATGGCAGCATGGAAGCTATACCTATTGGCAGACTTACAGGTAAATCTGTACCAGGTATGGATTCTAATTCACTGTGTAACACCAAGAAAATTACAGGGCCAAGAGGAAATATGCAAAAACAATGTGTRCAACTCGTATCAACTGACTGAAATTTTAAGCTCAAAATCTTCTTTACTGTCATCCTAGAAATCAGTAATAAGCAGATGAGGCCCAACTCAACTCTGACACATTTCAACACATGACAAATTAAGAGAGGCTGGAGAAAATTAAAGTGTGAGATTGTAAATCAATGAGGGAATAGTTAAATTGAGCCTCAGTGTCTGCTCTTTGAAGTTCCATGTATTTCTAATGCAGCATTTCAACTAACAGCCAGCAACGTAGCTTTCTAGCAATAAAAAAATTCCTAATCAAATTCCTACCAGTGTGCCTGAGGCACACTAAAATCACTGAAAACACTGAAAATCTGCATTTCTCATGAGGTATTCTACAGAAACGAAAGGCTTGCTGAAGTTTTAAAGTAGCCATTGATGAAAATTACATGTTTCAAAGGACGTGGCTATTGATAACCAGGCACAAAACGAAGTATCTTGGATTATCCTCACACAGGCCCTTCAAACAAAACCAGCCACCTAAAAACAGCTCACAGCGTCAGCCCAAGCTGCCATCACAGCCATTATGCTTGCACTGGTGCTTCAGATGGAATGTGGCTTTCTCACATCACTGGAAGCAGGATGATGGAGCATAACTGTATGGATATTATGGGCGCCACGACAAAATGGAATGCAAAACACCGCAACTCGAAACAGACAAGCTACTCCGTGTCAGAGTCAGTCCAGAAATAATATTAACAGGGCTTTGCACCAATATCAAAGCTTTGATACACACTGCATCGACAAATCAGCTCCTCACCAGCTGTATGTTAATGTTTACAATATTGTGCGGGGTACTCTTGGAGGAACAGATAGGATTTCTGTCAAAAAAATAGCATAAAAAATTTAACCCAGTAACTTTATTTAGGGTTCTTCTACAYGGGCTAAAATGCTCAGTCTTGAAACACACTGGCCTMATCTAMACAACTAAAAMAATATTGCTTTGGGTGAATCTAGGWATGGCAGRTCCATGCCACTGTCATGATGAAAACCRAGARAAGTCTCCTGTTGTTGGTTTGCAATTTGATCCACCACTGGACTATTTCCAGRTTAGTTACGTACACATCGCTGCAAGAACTCTTCAGCAACCTTCAGGGAAAAAAACTCCCATTCCTGTGATATCTGCACAGATAAAAGCCTTCAGGTWTGATTTCTGCAACAAAGAGACTCAAATAGTGATTGCCAAACTTTCTGCCAGGCAGSTTTGGTTTTTTCCCAAACGCTAAATTCCTGCTGCTGTCGCATGGTGCCCTGAGCACTCCCAACACTGGCCAACCTGTTCACGTGAAATTAAATGCAAATACAAAGACCTTGATGTAGGACACTAACGAGTAAGTGCTGCACCAACCCCAGCCAGGCCCAGCTGGGAGAGTCCTGCTCATTCAGCTCCCACTAACACCAGTGCAGAAGCGAGGAATTTGTTGCCTACCTGCGCAGCGTGGGAGAGGCCACATCRGGGTACTTGACTCCTTGCTGGTGGGTACTCTGAGCTCCGCTAGCAGCAGGCTGGGATGCAGGGTTCACTTTAACAGAATTACATGAAGCCACGCTTTCGTTGTCAGACGAAATCCCTTTCTCTTTATCAGTCTGATTGACTAATCCTGGCAGAGAGCTCCCAAGGATTACCTTGGCAGGCTCTCTGATTTTAGGGACAGGCAACCCGGCTGACTTGCTGCTTATGTTGGAGTCTATGCTACTGGTGCTAGATCTATTCCCAGCTCCACTTCTGCTACTGGATTTACTGGGCCGGGGTAAGCTACGGTACTGAAGATTAGTTCGTGCGCTAAGTGCTAAGTAGCCATCATCCTGGTTCTGCGAGCCATCCACACTAGTCTTCCGACCAGTGGTCCTACCCATGAGTCCAGATGACTTGGGGATCTTTCCCAAGGTAGCCGATCTACTGGTGAGAGTTGCCCCACTGGCAGTGATTATGGTCATGCCTACGGCTGACCCGCTCTGTTTCTTAAATCCAAATGCATTAGCATTAGCAGCAGCTGTCCTAGAGTTACTTGTGGGAAGCTTTTTGGATTCATCACCACTGCTGCGTCCTGCATCTGATGGGGAACGCTTAACATGTCCAGCTTTAGGAGATAGTCTACCCTTTTCTGATACCTTGGCGTCATCAGTTTTCCCTACAAAAATAGAAAAAGAATTCTAATATTTAATGACTTGCAAACATCGAGCAAATGATGAAACTCAAAGCAGCATGAAAAGCAAAAGCGCGTTAGCCACCGGAGCACGCTCAGAGTTACGATCTAGTCTGCACCCAGCTTAGGCGCCACTCCAGTGAGTTACACATGCAGACTTGCCAAAGAAAGGACACGGTGCCTTTGCCCTCGAGAATATGAAAAGCACAACAGCCTTACATAATAGTGACAGATAMGAATCAAAAAACGTTTCCCTCCTTAGCTACTACCGATTGATGGTTTTATCATTAGACAGCAGTAGTGTTAGGCTGTTAGTATAATTTCCCTAAAAGGCATTGTTCGAGACAGTATCTAACTTTATCTTTTTCATATACAATTGTGTACAGGACCTAGTAAGAAGAGAGATATTGAACTCTATTGCTTGACTATGCAAATTCAATCCATTTTCATTCACACATCTGCAAGTGCTCAATAAAATCATTAATGCATTTACAAGAAAAGCCAGAAATCGTGTTTAGTATAAATGAACATGCTTGTTTAGTAAGGGGAGGATAAAAAAAACTTCCTCAACCACATATATTTTATGTTCTTGGTTAACAGTGGCTTCAAAAACTAAAATTATTTATTCTTCACACAGCAATAGCTTGGCTTAAGACCAGAGYTGTCAGGGTTGCACTAATCTGGAAAACGCATTTCCAAACGAGCAGAAACAGAAACGTGGGCATACAGGATACTGCTTAGGTTAAAGCAACGCCTGAAAACACAGACAGCACTAGCTGAAGGTCAGTTCTGCCTCTGCAAAGCACTCAAACCCATCTCACACCGAGCAGGCTTTGGGCTCGCTCGCACCTGGTGYCTCCCTCACCTGTTCCGGGTGCCTTGAGCGCGCCCGAGGCGGCGGCGGCGGCGGCAGCCTTGGGCCTGGGCGCGGTGATGCCCACCTGGGCGGACATGCCGCGCCTCCAGGAGCCCGTGTGCGCGATCACGGCGCTCTTCCTGCCCGACGTGCTCTTGTCCGACTCGTCCGACACGTCCGAGGGGTTGCGCCTCCACTTGGAGCCCGGCTCCATCCTCACRCCGCTGTCCGAGCCCCCGTCAGACTTCTTGACCTCATCGCCGGACCACAGCGAGTTGCGCTCCACCTGCGAGTGCTTCTCTGCRTCGGTCTRGGGCACAGAAGGAATYGCAAGGCAATGTTCAGAGYGAGCCTTTSYTTTRGGGAGCTTTGGGAGTAAGAGCCATYGACCTGGTGAATCAGCTCAGCAGCCATCTCTGAGTACCAACAAATATAACGTGCCCTTGATGAACAAATGTCACACAAGAAATTAAACCCAGCTTAACATTTAAATTAACACTTTTTTTTTAAACGTGCTTTGTGAGGAAAATACAAAAAACACAACAGCCAGGCCTCTTGGAATAAATAAAGGGGAAAAAAAAACCTCACTTGATTTATAAAAGACATATTCAGCTCTGTGACATTTATAATCCTCCATCTCGAATTTCTGACAAACCCTTTCACTGCAATGCCAAGAAAGCATTTCAAACCTGTGCAGCAAGCTTTCCTTTGTTGCTGCAGCTTTCCTATCTCTTGTCTGGCAATCTGATCTCCAGAGCACGAGGAGGCAGCTTTTGGAACACATCCCAATATGTGGAATGCTGTTAATTCTAGCCAACTTAGTAGAAGGACACCCAAGAACTGGAGAAAAACAAATCACAAAAAACTTTCTAACAATTCTCAAGAGTGACTTCAATACATAAATTACCTTAGTTTTTAATTTATGTGCAGCTCTTGCAGTTTTTCCCCCCACTCTTTGCACAGACTGATTGTGCTACCAGTCTCTCATGGAGAATTCTGCTAAGCTCAACGTCAAATAGAAAAATTTCTCATTAGCAAACCTTTACCAAAAACACAGAAATGCTTCAATTAAATCCACTAYCCTATATCCATGTGTATATTTTATATGTTCCCCATACTTTAGCATTTTTCCATTGCTAATGATTACTTTTTCAGAATCCCGTTTCTCCTGTCAAAAGCTGTTGATTAAATTTGGCRAATTTGGTAACACCACAACCAACCATTTTGTGATCAGGCCCAAATGACAAATCTCCACACATTTGACTCTGATCAGGATAAAGCATTCTCCAAAAAAGTGTTCTCCAACCACCACAGTCTCTTTTCACACCATGAAAGAGACTGACAATTCAATTTCTGGCTGTGCAGCTCCCAGGTCCAGGCTGATGAATTTGGGTGAGGTGCTGAGTGCCACCTCTGCCCTGCAGCCTCGGCAGAARATGAATGCACTCAGAACTGTGCGGTAGGCAACAGGAATTACTTATTCAAAAGGAAATTAKTTTAAATATCCCAAGGCATTATAAAGCCCACAGTCTTTATTCCCTTTGGATAATCAGAAAAACACAGAGCAGGAGAGGCTGCAAGATTATTTACTGTGCTTTTCAGCTTTTAAGTTCCTAAAGCATGTTTCATCACTTTTCCTACCAGATCACACCATTAATATTAAAGAATTCAGGGGAACTGTGGCTGAATTTCCTCTGCTTTTTCTGCAAACACATTTTTTTTTTGAAGCCTGAAAAACTAGTTAAGCGATCAGTGTGTGAAAGCTGACACCACAGATCACAGTGGTCTTTCTTCATTCAGGGCAAACAGGGCTTGGGTTATTTATCCACATATTGAGGCATCACWCTAACAGGCATTTTAAACCATGGATTCAGGTGATGTTATATTCCTGTGCTTCCCTTGTGCTATGCCAGTGTTGTTTCTCTGCCTTCAAAGAGAGCAATTCAGCAGGTGTGGATCTCTGCTTTCTCTCTTCCTCCTCTTCCTGTGGCTGCTGAGTTTGGGGCTGGCAGGTTTGGGGCTTTCTGGCCACCAGCAGGTGTGCAATAAATTCATAGAGCGACTGTTCCTATGTCCTGTGCCTCTCCAAAATCATCATTTTATGCAAACATCTGCRTTCACAGATTTAGGAAGAGAGTACAGGCAAGAAGGACCAAATAACCAACCAACAGAACCACATTAGCACATGTCACTTCAGCATCTGGTTCCAAACTCTGTCTGGAATTGTGTACATGCCCTGTTCGAGAGCAAGAAAAACACCTACTTGCCAGCAAAGGGCTTATTCCAGTTTTGGTGAGAGGAAATGTTCCTGTACCTTCTATTTCCCCTCTTTTACATCTGCAAGATCACTACAACCTCCACAGAGATAGGAGCACTGGGAGAATTCTCTGCCTCTGCTCTCTCCCATTCCATCCCACCACTAYGCCCACGGCCAAATTTCTCCTGCAGCTTTGAAATGCTGCACCTCCCCTTTGAAGCCCTGTGGCCAGAGACGTTCCTGTTTGAGGGTAAACACTGAGARCAGCACAGGAACACCACTGAGAAACCAGCACCAAAACATGGTGAAACCTGGCTTGGGCACTGCAGCTGAAGCCCCACCCTGGAAGGGTGGAATRGTCCTGGCTGGAGGTCATGGCAACCCTCAGTGAGCTGGGAGCAGAGCCTGAACCAGGATTCCTACAGCCTCTAAATCTGCTCCTGAAGCTGTGAAGAAACCAAACACATCCTTGCTGAGAAGCTGTTTTGATTCAACTGCTTGGGGATGGTGCTCTTTTGTGTTTAAAGGAACCTTTCCATCTTCTTGATCATTTTACCATCACATGAAGAAATTTGCTACTTGGTCTCTTTCTATTTCAGTTAAGTAAGTTGATTTCAAATGCCTGCCAGGTCTTAATTTCTCTTTAAAATACGTGTATGATATGACTTTAAAGGAATATCATACATAGTACTGTGTAAAAGCTAACTTAACTAATTCTGTGCAGTATAAAGAAAAATATCAGTACCCCAAAATTCACATAACAACAGTAAGTGGTGTGGTACCTAACAAAATCACAGCAGGACATGGGAATGCGGTAAGGCAAATCGTGATTCCCATCACTATCTTGGGTCAGAAAAAACTTCCAAACACCTTCACTGCTACAGAAAGGGATTCCAGCTATGGATGCCTCTGAGGATGGAGTTAATATCCTATTTAAATCCTGCTTCTCAAAGAAGGACAAACTCCAGCTTCCGGAGTAGGGGGAGCTCCAAAAAGGAGCTGCTCAACAGAGATTTCTTCCTGCRGCAACCATGCCTGGCTTTGCAGAGATGATTGTGCCTGAGCCACTGATTTTATCAGCACACACCRACATGTTCAGGCTCTCTCCCTTTGATGGTGCTGCATTATTTGCCTGCACTCCCAGCTGTGAATGTAGCAGCTTCGAGCTCCCTCTTCAATTATCCAAACCCCACCTGGTGCACCCTCCCAAAGGCGTGTGACAGAATCACAGCAGCTCAGAAGCACCTCAGCTGTTTAGGAGACCCCTGGAAAGAAAAACCCTCATCCCTCTGCAGATGTACACAGCACCCCAGGGAAGGCAAAYCTGGGCACTGGCCATCACAGAGGCCTCCAGGCAAGACAGAAAATGTGTGTCTGCAGCATTCCCTGTGTCATCAGCTCTGAGGCAGCAAAAAAAATCAACCCTGCAAGCTGCACAATCCAGCAGTCACAGCCATTTTCATTCCCTTGGCTGACAAGACCAGGACAGTTTGACCAAAAACGAACTATTCTTTGGTCAATAATTTGCAGAGAACAGGAATACCTGGAATAAAGATTGTCATTCATGAAAGCTGAGGAGAGAAGCAGGTCAGAGACACGCATCAAAAAGCTGCAAACACAACTTGTGCATTCTTGGCTCCCAGCTTCCTCTGCCAATAACTACATCCACTGCCTGAACAAGCTCCAGCTGCTTCTCTTCTGCTGTCTGTCTGCACCCTCTTGGATACTCTAATAGTTGTGGAGGAGGAAGAGAAGTTTGTCAACACAGATTTTGATCTTTCAGAGGTGTTTCCAAGAATCTGATCCATCAGAAGATARAAGTCATACGAGTTTCTATGTTTTTTTTTCCCTTAGGTTCAGTCACGTCTCCCCGAGTCTTCTCTTTTTTGCCCCCAACAGCATTACAATGTTGAGATGGTAACAATTGCCAAAAAATGCTTCCAGCTGTCCATATTACTGTCTGTTAGCTACTGACAAACATGCTTGATAGACCTGAACTCCTCTCCTCTGGTGTGGGACTCACATTAACAGCTCCAAGGGCTCGTGCAGTGGCTGATGGGCAACCAGGGGCCACCACAGAGACAGCTCTGCAGGCACAGCAACACCTCACAGCAACCACAGATCCACATCAAAACTGATGGCAAAAACACATTCAGGGTCCACTCATGGAAAGGACTGGGGAAGAYTAAAAGGGGAAAGAAAGAGAGGAGCAGGTTGTACCGACCCCCTCTCCTCGCCCTGCTGCTCTGGCAGGTCACCACATCCCCGTGGCTTTGGCACACAGCTCCTGAGAGCCCAAAGGACAAAGCTGAGCCCTGTGCTTTTCCAAACAAAATTCCATGCAACCAGTAAAAAAAAAAAAAAGCAATTTCTATCAGTGCAAATCTCTGTTACACAGTCCATTTGAYCAATGAAAAACTGTTAGATGCCTCACTTGTTCTACCCTCTTTGTATGTAAAGTGGTGTCTGAGCACAAAATGTACAGGTATCCTGCTGATGGAGGTAAAGCTCATCCTCCTACAAAATGCTGCCAAACACAGAAAGCCTGCAGTAACACACAGCTCTGGAAATTCAGTAAAACCCATCTCATTTGCATAGCATGCTCACATTTCTGATGGAAGCATAAACAACCTTTAAACTTTCATGCTGACTTCATTAATTACATTATTTAAGAGAAAAACATAATAACTTTCCTAGACCTAATATATATATATATATATATATATATATATATATATATATATATAATCCCATTTACATCAGTTTTCTGCGCAGCAGTGCCTCTAGGAAGGCAAGACCCAATTGTTGAAACACCAGGGAGGAAATATTTGCAAATGCCACTGATGACAAGGTGGTTACTGCTGATCCTGGCTGTGTGTTCAGGTTCAGCCAACCTAAAACAAATGCACCTCCTGTGCAGAGAAAATAATAAATATCACTGTCCAAAGCAAAGCTCTTACCTGTGCATCTAWGTTCTTGCGGGAGGAGGCAGGAGTGTTGGCATAGGAGCTGATGGAGGAGCTGGTGTTGATGTCATCAGTGCTGAGATTATCTATGGTGTCGCTGATGCCACTGCTGACGGAGCTGCTGTCATCCCAGCTGCATGGCAGAGGGAGAGGACAAGGGTCAAAAGACATTCTTCAGAAGGAAAAGAGTTATTTCTACAACCCTTGGAGGGCCAGCGCATGCCATACCCAGCCAAGGGCACTGGGGACAGCTCTTCCTGACTCAGGTGAGGTGTGTCCCTCAGTCCCAGAGCAGGGGACAGCATGAAGGGATGTCAGCAGGGAATTCCTCCCTGGGAGGATGGGCAGCCCTGGCACAGGGTGCCCAGAGAAGCTGGGGMTGCCCCTGGATCCCTGRCAGGCTRRACAGGGCTTGGAGYACCCTGGGATGGTGGGAGGTGTCCCTGCYCATGGCACAGGGATGAGCAKGGARCAGGGTGAGCTTTAAGGWYCCTCCCAACCCAAAGCATTCTGTGAYTCTGRGATCWCCAAGGARCCACAGCATTGACTGGCCAAGCTGAAACACAGAGATGGAACTTAAAGGCAAGAAAAAAAAATCATCCTGAACCCATCTTTTGAATCTGGGTGTTACACAGACGTGGATCTACCACCCACAGCATCACCAGCCTCAAGAAACTTCAGTAATTCAAAATTTAATCCTTCAGATGGCACATAACCCCCCCGCCCTGAGCTGCACCACACACCCTTTTCARGRAGAGCTGCTATTCAGGACCACCTTRTCCWGMATGTCACAGCTTCAGCATTCTCCAGTAAATCAAAAATGTGCAACTGGAAGTTTAGAACAAACAAAGCACCACCAAAAAAAAAATTGCCTGGAGCAATTTCAGAGCTAGAACAGAAAGGATCAAAATGATCTAAAAATGGGGCCAGATGCTCCAAATCCTAAAATGCCTGTAAAAGTTAGCTGCTGGAGGAAGAGATCTATAAACTGGCTTACAAGTGCTCCATCTCCAGGAACAATGARGCTGGGATTGCCACATTGTCCTGGAAAGAGCTCTGTGAAGACACTTCAGTCCACGGATGGAAATGCAAACACAGACATATCATAGGTCATTTGCAAAAGGCAAGAGCAGGCAATTAAATATCACAAGGCAAAATATCAAAAGCCACATTACTTGCAGATTTCAGCTTTGAAAGCAGGTCCTATAGTGATACTTACTTTTATAACACAAAGCAATTACAATTCCTAGATTTTATATGTCTACAAATAAGTTTACAAAACAGGTAATAAAATTATTGACTAAAAAAAAAACGCTTCTCATTTTCCAAAGTTCTGTATAGCAGCAAACATATTTGCTATTTCTGAACCTATAATAAAATAATAATAATAATAATAATAATAACAATATCAATAATGCAAATGCTTTCCATGTTTAACAGCTTCATTTCCTTCTTATGGAGATATGGCAGTGAGCAAAAAAAAAAACCCAACCAAAACCATAATTTTCCTCTGTGTGACTCCTYGGTCCCACCCTAAATTCATAGAAACAAAAACATTTTCTTTTCAAGCACTCACAATTCTGGAACTACCAAAGGCCCCAGCCCATCAGCATCTAAAGAATGTGCTTAATGTTAATCATAAGTAGCTTTTCTGGCATCAGCCAGTCCTGTTGGCTTCAGCTGGGCAATCYAAGGCACTGAGAAAATATTTGATTGCCCTTCTGAACTGGGACATGTGCCTGAGGACAAAGGTACGAATGTGCACCTGCATTCATTGAAGGCTGTGGCTTCCCCTAGTGAGTGTCCTGGGCTCCAGGTCCTTGATGTCCTGATGGAAACATGACCTGCCCCAACTCTGCATTTTCTGAATTTAAAAAGCTCAGCTGTTCTGAGGGCTGGAGAGAGGTGGCTGGAGAGATTCTGGGTGCCAGTGGGCATGCTGGTGACACTGCTGTCCCAGCTACAGGATGGCAGGATGGCTACACCCACACATCTGTGTGAACCAGGCAGCTTTAGCTTTATTGAACAAATATCACTGCAGCAGGAGGCTGTGAGAGCTCAGCCTCCAGCTAGAGAAAGCAACAAAAACACTTTAAGAAATGGAAAATAATYGTGCAAACCTACAAAAACAAGGATCAGTGCTGCCCTTTGGAGGGGGCTGGTGGCATTCACTGAACTCTGGGGACCAGAGGCCACCACAAGCCACTCTATGAGCCCTCAACATGCAGAGCTGGAAAGCAAAGCAATGACCCCACACATTCTGTCTCGGGCTGTGGCTCCTCCAGGGGACAGCAGCTGTCACCAAACAGAGGCTTCTTCAGACCACCCCAAGCCCTCCAAGCAAATTTGTTTTTACCTCAATCCAGTGCCTTGATGGTTAAACTCAAAAGTGAGGAAGCAGAATGGGGCATCTGACAACCCTAATTACGGTGCTCTTGGCTCCCAGAGCCAAGATAGCATCTCTGTAATTTAGCTGRTGCAATTAATAATGCCTGATGTCAGCAAAAGTCTTCTCAGCCATAACCCCGAACTGAAATGTTCGGGCTTTCCTTTCTCTACTTGATCAATCACCTGAAACTTTACCTTGCTTACTGAAAATCACATTTTTTTTTTAAATATAAAATTAAAATCTTAAAAGTACACTGCACACAAAAATTATGCAACCATCTACTTAAAAGCCATCCCCACCACCCATTAAAAGCTGCCAAGACGTTGCCTCGTGCTCTGTGTGAAACACAGTGCCTTGCTCCATCAGCTCCTCTCGCTGCAGAAATCTTCCCCATTTGCAAGGGAGTCATTCAAATCCTTCTAAATAAAGCTWTTGTTGAAGGCTGAAATGCACCTTCTCTACAGATGGGGGTGGATTTTGAGTTTGTTGGATCTTCACTCAAAACCAAAATTACAATGAGCTGCTGAAAAATACATTGGTCCAAGAAAGGGCCTTGGGGCTCTACAATATTTCAAGTGGAAATATGGCAATTATCCTCTTCTACTTCAAAATTTAACTATTAATGAGTTGACAGGTGAACAACAACAACAAAGATCAAGACACAAAATGACAGAAAYTTCACAGCATCTTCCAAGATCTAAAAAGAAAAAATTAATGTGCTATAAYGTGAGATAGTAAATACCACAGTCTCCTCTGTTTCCTTCTGGGATTTCCTACAACAGTGTTAACTGGGCCAGAAATCCAGAAAGCACATGGACACCCTTACATGGTTTTCCTTCCAAACTGTTCTGAAACTGAAACAAACCCATTTGCTAAAGAATGAATGGAAATCTACTTTGAGAGAAGTGAATTTAATGAATGTTTTACCCTGTTATTAATCACCCACCTCCCCCATGTCTCCAGTTACTCCCYCCTCACATCTCACCACAGGTATTTAACACAAACCACTTTGTTTCTCACCAAAAGAGGAGCCCAGGGACAGGATTGTTACCTTGGAACACTTTGCAAAGGCAGACCAAGAAAAGCAAACCAGGAAAAATGAACACAGAGCCTTTCCAGTTGTTCTTTCTGGAGCAGAACCTAATCCTTTTAATGACATTTTTTGGTGCAGCGTTCAAGGGCTGAAGTGTGCTGTGAGCTTTTCAGACATTTTCATGTTTAGTGGCTATTGGGGTTCCTGCCAGCAGACCAAACTGCAGCTCTCTGTCAAGCTCTGTTTAGCATTCATCCAAGATAAGGTTTCAGGATTTACATTTAAAATACCTATTTGTAAAGGGAATAACTCACAGAACAAAATGAATCAGTGCTGAAAAAGTTTGGGTAAGAAAAGACTTGGAGAAGCGAGAAAACTGSTCGTGCTCTTTTTGTTTAATCTTTTCATATCCGTGCTAATAACCTTACAAAAACAACACCGGATTTTATTTTGTCCCTTAAAATCTAACCAGGAATCTGACCAAGCCATTGACAAACCTGAACACARCTGAGCACACACACACACACACAGGACCTGCTAAAAATCCACCTGATCCCAGGGAGATAAAACACCCTAAATCTTCAGGAACCATCTGACTTTCCACCGAAACTCATCACATCCTGCTCTGGAGCTGGAATTGCAAAGGCCCCTTCTTCCCCTGCAGGCTCTGCTCTGAGCCCCTTCAGCCCTGACCCCAGCTGCCAGCACAGCCGTGTTCAGCTGCAAAAACCTGACTGGTGGAACTTGTTTTATTGGCCATTGTTCACAACCGGGGCTCCTSTGCTACCTGCACAGCCTCGGGGAAGGGGAGAAACCCGAGCAAGACCCTGCATGCGACCCAGCTGCTGGAGGAACTCCCAGTTAGCTCTGCAAAATTCAGTGTACRATCCCACAGCCAGCTACCAGCCCATTTTCTTGCCCTCACAAGCCATAAATCTGATTTCCCCATTCAYTGTTCTGTCTGGAGACTTGTAAAAAGTCACCTGCACACAGAGCCCAGCAGCACTCTCACCTCCCTGCCTGGATGCTGCTGCTCATCCCTGGTCACTCCTGTGCCACCACGGTGACTCCAGAGAAAGATGGAAACAAAATCAGCGCCTTCATATCGCAGCAAGGTCAGCACGTTACAAAAACAGCCTTTGTTTGCTCTGCCTTTGTTCCCATGACAGTAAGAAGGGCTGAGAAAAGTCTTCTACTGCGAGTCAGAAATCCCTGTTTACACACAAAGCCTCGGGCGCCTTCCAGAGGATAAATCCCTGCAAAGTGGACTGGGAACAGGCAGAGGWGGAGCCCGGGGTGCTGGGGATGTGGGGACAGAACCCCAGCTCCCTCCAGTGCCCCCGGGCTGGGGGAACCTGGCAAAGATCTCAGCCAGGTCCATCCAACAGCTCCTCACTGGGGCAGGCACGGGAGGAAGGTGGAGTGGCCAGGGGATGGAGAGCTGACACCAAAAATCTGCCTGGGGAGTTCCTCACCCATCCTTGCTCACCAGAACTGCTTTGTGACTGCTCACTCTGCCCAAGGGATGGAGAGCTGACACCAAAAATCAGCCTGGGGAGTTTCTCACCCATCCTCACTCACCAGAACTGCTTTGTGATTGCTCACCCTTGCCCAGGGGATGGAGAGCTGTGACACCAAAAATCAGCCTGTGGATTTCCTCACCCATCCTCACTGATCAGAACTGCTTTGTGACTGCTCACTCTGCCCAAGGGATGGAGAGCTGACACCAAAAATCAGCCTGGGGAGTTTCTCACCCATCCTCACTGACCAGAACTGCTTTGTGACTGCTCCCCCAAAAGCTGACACTCTGGGTCACATCATCTCCCCGTACAATGACACAATTTGGGTTTRAAGAAGGGGGAAGCACCCACTGAACACACAGTTTCTGACACCCAGCCCAGCTCSCCAGCAGTCACTGGTACCTGGCAGCTGCCTCACCACAGCCTCCAAAAGGGAATAACAACAGAGTTAAACAAGAAGATAAAAAAGAACAGACTGTAAATTCTTACAAGAATGACAGAAGGAAAACATGGAAGGACAGGAATGAACATGGAACCAAAACTGTGCAAGGTGCAGTTAAAATACAAGTCGAACTTGGCAATAAAACAAGTGTTAATTTGCTCACAGGGCACAGCACCATCCCTCAGGGAGCCAAACCACCAAAAAAACAACCTTTGTTATCACACCAGCRATTCACAGAACAGACAGACACACAATCAAGTATCTGGTTCTTTGTAAAATTGAGATGTGTGGGAGATGTCAGCGAGTACAACTGAAAGCAGGTTTTTCCACAGCTGAACTGCAACAGCACCAGTAGCTCCTGGTTCACGTGAGCCTTTAAAATTAAGTTTCTTTGAAAGGAACYACAAAAAGGAAAAGGATCTTACAACCTTCCTCAGACAAACCAGGAAGCAACCAGAAATTTGCACAGGAGTGAGAAGAACTGGATATTATGTACTAAAAAGYGAGTGCGCTCTGTCCTGACAGAGACTCACACACGCCTTTGTTTCCCTGCAGAGTGAGCTCACTCCCACACAGGTTCCTCCTTTGCACAAAAACAGACTCACAGGGCTAAAATCTAACAAAGCCCCATAGTTTTCCGAGGCTAAAAGCCTGCAGCACTAGAGGAAAGATATCCAGCTAGATTGCAACCCTGTGAGTATCGATAAACCCCACAGAGCCACGAAGTTCAGCCAGAAAAAGCGAACACTGGAACAGCTGCCAGCTCTCACATAGGAAATTTTCTATCATTCAAATATTTGCAATCTATTACAAAATATCTTGGTTTCATGCAGCAGACAGCGACTGGAAAGGAACAGTGCAGGGGGCAAGATTTATCCATCCTCTCATGTGTTTCCACTGCTGCCAGAGTTTGCAAAGCTAAGCCTCCCTGCCCAAAGGTGTAACACAACACACTCCCGTGCTTTCAAAAGTGTAGAAAATCTCTTACCTTGCAATATTCCCTGGCCAAAGCACCTCTCCACCTTGCTGCCCATGAAGAATTCCAGGAAAAGGGCTCAGATTTATTTTGCAGGTTGATACCTTCATTAGGCTACCATCCAATGCCCCCCCTCAATAAACCAGCCTGTAACTTGACTATCTAGGAAGAGACTTGGAAAAAAAAAAACTTGGAGCAAGGTTGTTTTCCGACTGCGCCCTCCACATTCAGCAGCTCTGAGAGACACTGGCAAGTAAAGCCTAGCTAGAAGGTGATCATCAGAAACTTCCCCTGGAAAGAAATCTGATCCCTCAACAAAATTAACCTCTGAAGTGCTGAAAAAGCGAGAGGTCAAGGCTTTCTGCTGGGACTGGGTCACCTGTGAGAGCTGAGCTGCACCCTGAGGGCACTGACCAGGCAGAGGGTGCCTCCAGACCAGTTATCCCACCCACCCTGGCAGCACTCCTGTATTTGGAGGTGCTAAATGGCCCCATTTATCTCAGCTGAAAGGCTCCAACCCCTGAAAACRTCGCTCCTACTCTGCCTGTCAACAGGGGTGCAACCACGGCACTGCTGGAACAAGTCCTGTTTTATGTGAGTGCAGCAGAAGTTTTCTTTGCATTGTTTTAATGCAATNAAAAAGCATTTTCAATAGGAATGCYAATGAAAACAGCAATTTATCCACTGGTATCTCCAGCAAAGATCTCAAAAAACTGAGATATGAGATGCAATATTTATCTGACTCTTCCTTATTCAGCACTGTAAAGTAAGGGGGSCTTATTACTCCCCTTTATTTCAAATAGAACAGAGATAGGAATTTACAGATATTTGGTTGATAAAGAACTCTGATGGTTAACATTCAAAACTCTCCTTTTAGCCTAACAGAAACACTTTCTGACAGGATCCTCCCCAGATCTCTGCATCCTGACAAACATGTGAGATTTAATTTTATTTTTTTCTAATATGGGAAATTGCTCTACTCACCATGAGCAGTACTGCTCTGTTCTGCTTTAAAAAAAAATCCCAAACTGTAAATCTTAGAAAACTTGGAAGGGAYGGTGAGAGGTGCAAAGATGGGGACTTACAGTCCACGTGGACTCATCACTTGTGGAGGGAAACACAAGGAATAGATGGAAACATGGGAAATAGAAGCAAGATGGGAAATAGTGGGAAACAGAAATAGTGGGAAACACGGGAACAGAGGGAAACACAGGGAATAGAGGGAAACACAAGGAAACAGAGGGAAACACAGGAAAATGAGGGGAACACAGGAAATAGTGGGAAACATGAGGAATAGAGGGAAACATGGGGAACAGAGGGAAACACGAGGAATAAAGAGAAACACAGGGAATAGAGGGAAAGATGGGAAATAGAAACACAAGGAATAGAGGGAAACACGGGAAATAGAGGGAAGAATGGGAAATAGTGGGAAACACAATAGAGGGAAATATGGGAAATAGAGAGAAACATGGGAAACAGAAACACAAGGAATAGAGGGAAACACAAGGGATAGGGAAATGGGAAATAGAGGGAAACATGGGAAATAGTGGGAAACACAAGGAATAGAGGAGAACATGGGAAATAGAGGGAAACACGCGAATAGAGGGAAATGCGAGGAATAGAGGGAAACACTGGGAACAGAGGGAAACACTGGGAACAGAGGGAAATATGGGGAACAGAGAGAAACATGAAAAATAGTGGGAAACACAGGGAACACAGGGAAATACAGGAAACGGAAATATGGGAAACAGAGGGAAACACAAGGAATAGAGGGAAACACAAGGAACAGAGGGAAACAAGGGGAACAGAGGGAAACAAGGGGAACAGAGGGAAACACAAGGAATAGAGGGAAACATAAGGAACAGGGAAACACAAGGTATAGAGGGAAACACAAGGAATAGGGAAACACAACAAACAGAGGGAAACACAGTGGTTTGGGCTAACCATGGCTAGTTTGGCATGGCAGGCAGCACTGGAGCTTGGAGCAGATGATTGTGAGGAGYCAGGAWTGTCTSCYRTGRTGTCTGAGGAGCCAAAGGATCAGCTCCAGGTCACCWGAGCAGAATGRAATGGGTGGGAAYRRGAGCCAGGAGTGTCTCCTGTGGTGTCTGARGAGCCAAAGGATCAGCTCCAGGTCACCAGAGCAGAATGCAGTGGGTGGGAGCAGCGCCACAAGTGCAGAGGGTCGGTGGAATTTGCAAGGTCATTTCCACTGCTGCAGGAAGGTTTGTTCCCTGAGTCAGAATCTGCATTTCTGATGGAGCCAGGACAGATTTGTGCTGCCAGCCAGATCAGCAGTGAGGGATCCCCTCATGGAAAGGAGGTGGGAAGCCTTTAGGATGGAGGAAATGGAGAGGGCATGATGCTGCTGCCTTAGCCTCACCTCAAGAAAACGATGGATCATCCAGCCCAAAACCAAAAAGGAGAGCAGGRAAGAGTAGCCAGAAGTCAACTACACCCATCTATTTATTTACTCAGCTTGAGTACCCTGGTCTTAATAAAACACATCTTTTAGCACAACACTGCAATGTTGGGTGAAAGAGTTAAAATGCAAGAATTCAAAGGTTATAAAACAAAGACACTCTGGAGATACTCGGCTGCCAAAACCTTCAAATAAATGGGTCTCAGTCTGAGCTTGCCCTTCCATGCYGAGCCTGTATTTTAGTGGCTACTGKGWAACCATGGCAACAATGAGGACGGGTAATTTCGAGGCTGGTGGATGTGACAACTTGCAATTTAAAACAATGCTAATAATAAAAGTGGCTTGGAGAAGCATCATTTAACACAAGCGCTTGTGGTTTAAAATTAAAAACGCCTGTGCACTTAATTTTAAAAATGTTCAGGGATTTGGTTTTTTTTTTCAGCTGGATGATTACCTATAGTATATGAGTCTGGGGATGAACAGAAGGTAGAAACATGAATCTTGTGCTTTTTGGTTCATCTGCACCTGTAAGTGCAGCCAACTCACCCTCCCTTCATGATATTCACATGTACAAATGCAAAGTCGTTGATGTCACTGTCTTTGCTGAAGGTTAGACAAGAATCACATGGCTTTAAAAAAATATTATGTAACACCTGTAAAGAAAGAGAAGGGAAAGATCCTCATGGATTATCATAATTCCTTTCTTGCCTCTGTGCATTTTAACTGTTATCCTTCATTGAAAAATCCTGCAAACTGCTTCCCAGTCCTTATTTTCATTGCAGAATAGTGACTAGAGATAATTCTCAGATATGACAGATACTTCAAAGGATCACAACTGCGATACTAAGGCTTTCTTTTCATCCCTAACACCCTTCCTGTCTTCCTCCAAATAGCTCTCATATGTGATGTTTCTCAATAATCTGCTCATGCAGTTGTATAGGAAATAAGTGCCTCACCCACTGCTAATGTAAGTAAGAATAGACAGAATTATTCTAGTTAAAAAAGAAAAAAAATCTGAAATTGTAAGCTAGGGGGAAAAAAAAGAAAGAAACAGGACATTGCATCTGTTGAATCACCAGCACCAAGTAAAGCCAAACTCACAAGATTAAGGCACAGCACTGCACTCACACCCATCCCCAGCCCCATTGTCCTCCCCTCCCCTGGCAGCCCTTCCACGGCAAAGGAAGGACTTTGCAACACAATACCCAGAACGCTAAATGCAGAGGGAGATTTCCAGATGAATTTTACATGTAGCAATAATCACAGTTTTATGGGTCAGGAAGTTCAGAAGATTAGCGTGTTATGGCTGCAGCGCACAAAAGAGTTTGTGTTAGAAGCTCCACATAGCAATGGGGTGAGATAAGCTGTGAACAGCTTCACATTAGCTTCTTTTATGGTAGTTAAAGCTGGGGAGAAGTAAAGAGACCCCAGGTATTAATTTACCTAAAGAACAGCTGCTTGCAAAGGGCTGCAGAGTGTCCTGATACTCGGTGTTATAAAATCACTGCACCTCCTTCCCCCCACAGCCCTGTGCTATTCCCATCAACCTCAGGCACCCCTGTGATCCTGGGCTGAGACAAACTAAATCTGCTAGCAGCAAAAAAAAAAAAAAACCTCAACTTATCGAAGAAATTTATTTGCAACGGCCTAACCCCACAATTATGGGTTTGCTTTCAGCTCAAATCTTGCTGCATTTCCAACATTCTGAAGGACCGAAATGCCTGAAAACTATGGGTTTACTGCAATATGTTCATTTCCTTTTTATTTCTGTTTCTCAGTAGCTGAGATAAATCAGTTATGACCTTCAGAAATGTCTGTATTTGATAATGAATTGAAAATAACACTAACCCAAGCATCCTAGGCTGTAAAATCAGCCCACTTCCCATCCTTGGAAGCTGCTGGATAAAGTGTGGCATGAGGCATCTGCCACATCTCACCCTGGGTGAGACCCCACTACCATGGGGTAAACCTGTGTCTTAAAATAATCTTAAAATAATCTTAAAATAAACTCATTTTTTTAAGATTTATTTTTCATTTCTTTCCTCCTAAAGGACTTATTTAAATAAGAAAAAATATATATTTGAAACACCAAAACATATTCTGAACAGACTCAAACACGCTTTTGAACACACTCCTATCCTTTGAACTTGTGCACATGGAACAAAAATATACCTTTTTACAGGACTTCCATTGATTATGAGAAAATAAAGGCAGGACTACCATTACAACTGCACCATTACAACTCTTACACACCACACTACAGGGATAAAATCCTGTGTGTCAACCTCAATGATCGATGTTTGTGCTCAAGCAGATTTTAACAGAACAAATCCAAACAAAGAAGGCCCAACTTGTTGAACTCGTGAGTAATTGCTCATCCTTGAGCAGGTATTTCTAGCTAAAACCAGAGCAATACTGGAAGCAGCAGGAACTCTCAGTTAGGGCTATGGTACAGAATAAACCCCAACTGCTGCAGCCCTGTGGGTTTGCAGTCAGGCTCCAAAGGGAGCTTGGAAGACAGGAAAAGCAGAACTGGAAAAATGAAGATCCATTTAATTCCCCTTATTCTGCAGAGTGAAAGAGGCACTGAGTTTGCAGACTGATGAGGGATATCTGCTCCAAAACTCTTTTTCCCATCCTTAAATCTCAATGCTAAAAGCCCTCTGCTGCCTCAGACTTTCCTGGGAGCAGACAACTGTATTATGGTGTTGCTGCATGGATTTATTTATTTTTAGCAGTGAACACATGAAATGTAGAATTTTGGATTTTGTTAAAATCCTTCAGGTGGTACCACACCTGACAAAGGGGAGTGGAAGAAGAAAGTTTTTAAAAAGGAACCATCCGTGTGTGTTACACTTGGGTGTGCATTGTAATGCACAGGAACTGGGCAAAGAGAGGTTAAGGGAACAGTGATTCTGACCCCAAAACCACTGAATTTGACCAGAAAACTCAAATACAAGATAAGACTAAGAATTATTGCATCATA